AGTGACTTCCTTCAGACAAAGTTTGGTCAGCGTCTGTTCCCCTTTGGCTGTGTATGTGTGAGGATACCTGCAAAAGTGACGGAGAACCGAAGAGACCAGGAGCATCACTTCCAGCCTCCCGGCAGCTGCCCTTAGGACATCTGCACTTGTGGGCCATTTGCATGTTTCCAGGGAACTCTGGAGCAAGTGCTGCATGGGTTAGACAGTAGCTGTGCAGCAGATGAACGGCGCCCGCCCGCTGCTGGGGCCAGGGGCTGCCTCCTGCGCACACTGTGGGCACGACCGAGGCTGCTGCAGCACTGTTTTTGCAGTGGCCATCTGTTTTCAGAGCCCCGCGCATTCCTGCCATTCCACCCAGCTTCAGCGTTCTTTAAACAAGCCCCCTGCCCCCTCTCAGTCAAGGGCTCTCCGTGTAGCTCAGGCTGGTCTGAAATTGGCCATTCTCCTGCCTCAGTTTCCTTAGTGCTTTACGGGTGTATGCCATGACACCTGGAAATATGTCCCCTTTCTCCTTCCAATTACTCTGCTTTGCTTGTGCCTAAGAGCCTTGGCTGATGGGTAAAGACAGTGGTCCTCACAGGTTCCCAGACCCACACATACGTGACTCTCTGTATGTATGCCTCACCACAGAGACCAGAACATCTTTGATGTAAACAAAGAGAAACTGGATGCTTTAATTAAATTTCACCAGGATCTTGCCCCAGGGAAAGGAACTTTAAAGGTCAGAATATCTTCTGTCATCTGCTCCCTTCAAGGGACCAGCACTCACTCTGGTGAGGACTCCTCACCAGCCAAGACCTGCTTTCAGGCAAGGGGATGCTGGGAGCAGACCTTTGGGCCCAAGGGGTGAGCTAGAGGTATATCCACTCATGTCATTTCCACGAGGATCCTGGGCAGATGACAGCAAAGGTGTGGTGGGAGCTCCTCCAGAGGGGATAGCACAGGGCTGTTATCCCAGTGAGGAGAGAACAAGTCAACATTTGGGCATCTGCTACTCCGTGTGTCCGTTATACAACACACGTGCAAACCTGTCCGTGCACGGCACCCTTCCAGTGTGGTGGCATGCAACACGCCTGGCCCTGCTAGCCTGACCCTCTGGCCCTGTGGAAATACTGCCGGAGATTTAATTTCCTCTAGTGATATAGACAGGATGGTGTTTGGCCAGGAATCCCATTGAGCAGAAAAGGAGATAAGGCTTCCTTCCTGCCTCAAAAGCTAGGAACAAGAGGACCATCATCGGCGAGTCTTCTGAGCTGACACAAGGCACCCAGGATACCTGGACAGTCATTGCATGCTTTGCTTATTAATTTTTAGACAAACATGAATCCGACTCAATCCGCCTTCCTTCCTCATTCTAGAAACCCATTGGCTTGGCCTTTTGCTTTTGCTGTCTAGAGCTCATAGCCAAAGACAGGGACTACAAGGATGAAGAGCATTAGGTGTGAATATTCCAGCTCCAAAGCCTGTGGGGTAAATGACTGTGCCCATTTCCTTCATGCACGTTGCGCCCCCTACTGTTGCAAGCTGGGCATGGCTTTCTCTACTGTGCTGGCTGGTTGTCAAATCGACAGAGTCCTAAACATGTCTGGGAAGGGGGAATCTAAACAGAGAAAACTCCTTCAGAAGAGTGGCCTGTAGGCAAGGCTATGGTACATTTTCTTGATTAATGATTGCTGTGGAAGGGCCCAGATCACTGTGGGTGATGCCATCCCAGGGCAGGTGGTCCTAGGCTGTATAAAAAGCAGGGTAAGCTAAGTCACAAGGAGCAAACTGGTAAGCAGTGCCCCTCTATGGTCTCTGCTTCAGTTCCTGCCTCCAGAATCCTGCCCTGAGCCCTGCCCTGACTTCCCTCAGCTGTGGACTGTGACCTGAAAGCAGAAGGTAAAGTAAATCTCTTCCTCCCCAAGTTGGTCTTTTGGTTCCGGTCTTTATCATAGCAATAGAAATCTAAGACATTTGGTGATTCAATGTGTGTGTGTGTGTGTGTGTGTGTACGCCTGTGTGTGTGTGTGTGTGTGTGTGAGAGAGAGAGAGAGAGAGAGAGAGAGAGAGCCTGTAGGCTGGAGTTTGTGCAGGACTGGCTGTTGTTAAAATGCTCAATCATCAGGTTTTTTTTCTTTGATGTTTTATTTTGGTCAGAACTGTTTCGAGCCAAAATTTTGGTTTAGGTTAGTGGGCACTCTGGCTCCTGGAAGCCTCTGCCCCAGAGTGTAGACAGGAGGATAAGGAGCCCGATTTTCCCAGGGAGTCCTTCCATCCTTGTGTGGAAAGCCGGTTGTTGACTGGTCTTTAGTACTCCTGAGCTATAAACCTAAATTCCGTACCCCCCCTCACCCGCCTCTCCGCGTTGTGAGTCGTAGCAGCGCCGGCAGTTGCCTGTTGGGGGAGCTCGAGAGCCATGCTGGCACCGCCGCTTAGCGCGCCCAGCCAGGGGAAGGGGGACGCAAAACCAAACAAAACTGCCACATGGTAGGTGTAGTCTCAGCAGGGAGGGCCCTGAAGGCAAAATGGAGGAGGGCACAGGGCTGGGAGTGGAGTTTCACTGATGACCAAACTTCGCGGCAGAACCGTCCTAGGATATTCCTGTTTCCACTGTTCAATGGGCAACCGGTGCATACCCTCCTTAAGAGTCCTAGTCACACTCCTGGCCAAGGGACACGTGGTGCAGCCAAGGCCTCAGGCTCAGCTCCTGCGTTCTCCATGAAGTCCCAGCTCTCTACCCAACCCCCAAAGCAAACATCACCCCGGAAGCACTCGGCCCCTAGTGTGCTCCTACCTGATCTGCTGCCATCTGAGAGCGTCACCAGGAGGAAAGCAGTCTAGAGGAAAGGGAGATGATGGAGAAAGCCCTAGGTCCAGATGGCGACCAACCATGACACAACATGTGGGCCCAGTCACCATGTCACTCACTTTTCTCCAGCCCCAACTGATAGGGCACCAGTAGAGGGATGTCCCAGCAGCCCTCGGAACAAGGTAGCTTTGTGAAATTGTCCCTGTGTTTCTTTTGCATGTGTACCACTCTGTCCTGGGTGATACCACGGTTCACAAACCAGATGGAAAGAATGGAAGGGAAGCAGGAGCTCTGTCCTCTTCTGCTAGATTCTCCACCTCAGTCAGCATCCTGAAATGCATGGTGCCAGGTTCAGTGCCCACTCCTCACAAGTGGCCTCATTCCTCTCCGGATAACTCCAGATTTAGGAAGCTAGCTTTTATTTGGACATGTAGTCACTTTCTTATTGGCTCAAACTGGCCAAACTCTTGGCAAAATGCTCCCCCGTCCATCACGGCCCCAGGGTCTGTTCTGGTGCTTTCTCTAAAGTGTCTCTTCCAGCTGAAGGTGCATTCCCCTTGGCTTGTCCTCCGAGGACTCATCTTGCCCCTTTCTCTCCCTGAAGGCCCGTGCGGCCATCACACCCGCTCTCTTGGCTCTTACTATCAGACCAGAGAGGGCAGCCTGAACCTGGAGCGACTCCGTGGAATTCCCACAAGGTCAGGCTAGAAGATCTTACTGCCAGGAGGAAGGAGTTCAATGAGACCTAATCCCTACCCTGTCTCCATCATGATTTAGTAGACAATGACTCACAAAGAGGACTGAACAATCCCAGAATGCCTGAATTCCTGGGATCATGTAGCCCATGCTCCTGCCATCAGCTGAGAACTGACTCCCAACACTACAGGGTAGCTAAGGATCACTTTGATGACACTAGCAGATTCTGTGAAGAACTAAGCCATTTGCCTGGCAAATAGTTGGGACGCTATTTTTGTGCTAAGATATGTGCTTACATGTAAGAGTGTAGAGGTGTAAATTGTCACCACCAGGTGACCGCTGAGGGCTCTTTGGGCAGAGAACTTGGCAATGCATCTTTATTCCAAGAGTCCTGAAGGTGAGACCCAGAATGGAGAAGTGATCAGTCTGGGAACACACAGCTCAGAGGAGAGGGGGTTCAAACCCCAGATGAGATCATTTTCCCTGTACGGGGAGCACCTGCATAGGAAGTGCCTACCACATCCACAAAGGGGAGGAAAAGTGGACAGAGGGCTCTGGGCCAACCCTGAGCTTGTCCATAGTGCAGTTCACTGACACAATCTGAGCCCTGGCGCTGTGGTCTGAACAGGGCAGAACCCATTCAATGGCGAGCACACTCCTCTCCGGAAGGACCCAGAGACTCTGGTAGGAACAGGCCTGGGTGAAAGGAGGAAGCCTGCTCCTCAGCATCGAGAGGGAGACACAAGAACAGCAAGACAGCAAGGCTGGCTGGAGGCTCCTGGGCCCCAAGCCGGAGAACCGGTAGGACCAGATGTGCTGCCACAGTCAGCATCCGCAGCTGTGTCCCTGTCACAGGCTACAGCTTCTCATACCTGTGTGCACACCACGCCTTGTGCCCAGACTCTGGTGCCTGCAGAACTGAGTTCTGGCTTCCTCTCCACCCCCCTGAAGTAAAGCTGGAAAGTGGAAAGCCAGCCTGAACCACGGAATTCGACAAAGAGAGCTTGCTTTTACTCAAAACACTTCAGGCATGAAGGATGAGGCAGGAGGATGGTAAATTCGAAGCTAGTCTGGAATACATTTTTTTGAAGTCCCTCCCTCCAAAAGTAATACTAAACCTTCCACAATCCTTCAAGTAACTAGAGCCAAAAAAGAGGTGGTTCAGCACTTGATCCAGAGGACTGACCCAGGTTTGATTCTGAATTCCCACAGGGCAGCTCACAACCATCTTTAACTCTAGTTTCAGGGGATCTAGTGCCCTCTTCTAGCCTCCTTGGGTATCAGGCATGCACACAGCACACAGACATACATGCAGGCAAAACCCATACATATTAAAAAAAAGAATATAAAAAAGACTCAAAGGTTTGTGTTTTGTAAAGGTGTCTTTGACATTAAAATTGTCGTGCCCAGTGGTCTAGACTGTAAGCAAGGAACTTTTGTAGATTGTGTGACTTGTTGCCGTCATGTGAACCTCCAGTAGTCACATCTCACAGAAGCGCCACTCTCAATATCATTTAGGCAAGTCAGTTCATATTATTTAATAAATAGGCCAGAAAATTAGCTGAGCATTTCTGGGTAGGATGCGGCGTGCGACCAAAGTTATGGAAGATTGTCCCTTGAGTCACTAAGGCAAACTGTTGTGTGTCATTATACACAGAGGCGTCACATAAAAAGAGTTATAAATAGAAAAATTCCAAAGTTCTCCCACAGACAGACAGGGAAGTCAGAAACATTAAAAAAAAATCAAAACGAAACACAACCACCCCTCCCCCCACAACCCATTTATTTCAAGTGCTTGATCATACAGTACTCAACATCTTTGGATATTTTACAATGTACAACTCCTAATTGCAGCCCAGGAAAAAAATGACAAAAGGAACTAAGCAGTCATCTGAAAAAGTGAGTTTATAAGAAGTCGTTACCTTTACAAAATAAAAACAAAAGCCTGTCACCACCGCCTTCCCCTGGGTTCCTCTGTTGTTGAGTCTGGTTCAGCTGCAGCCCCTTGGCTGGTGGGACAGAGTGTGCATATTGGTAGATGGGTCCAGAAACAAGTCTGAAGTGTGACAGGGATCTAAGAGGCGGCAGCCTCAGCAGACGACCGATGAGGGTGGTATCTGAGGAACATCCACCCGAGGGACTGTGGTCTGGAAACACTGGCAGACAGGGAGTGTTTCTTGCGAGCTTCAGGAGGGACAGAGTCTACTGTCTTCTCTGACCTTTCTGTTTGTGTTTGTACAGGATAAAGCCAAGGCAATGGTATAGAAAGAACTGAGCCTCATGTACACACAGCTTGGGGCTCTGGGACACCAGGCCTAGGCCCTCCAAGCAGGTGGATTCTCCTCCCTGGGATCTCAAGAAACCAATGCAAACCCAAGAAGGCATGGACCGACTGGCAAAGTTGTCTTGCTACTACCAACCCCAGAACCAGGTGAGCTGGTCCTACTTCACAGAACACATCACAACCCAAAGGGTTCCACATCTTTGCACTGGAGCGCTTTGGTCAAATATAGAAAGGGATACCAGAGGCTCAAACACAGTAGAAGGGTACCACCAGCGAACCCCAAACAAAGAGATGAGTCCTGGATGACTAGGTGCTGTGACACTTGCAGGGATGGGGAGGCCCCAACCCTTGAGTATTAGCTCAAGGAGAGTGAACTCCAGAGGGCCTGTGGAGGTGGGTAAATGCTGACTGTTGTTTCCAGGTGTGTTCAGATATGACAGTTGTCTATCAGAAAGTGGGCAGGTTTTGGGGTTCCTGGAGTTGCCTATGGGTATTGAAAGCCATTAAGCCCAGCCTATCCCTCGCTCTCTCTGTCTGTCACCAGAGTCTAGTTCTGCTGCATGTCTCACCTAGGCTACAATGCTGATTTTCACGTGGAGGCGATGGAACCAATTCCAGTAAGATAGACTGCCTCCTAGTGACTCTGGGGGAGGTATGCAAAAATTTTACCTTTCTAGGGACTTTTTGTTTTTAGGAACAGGTGTGAACATGTATGGAGGGGCGTAGGGGAATATGTAACCACCCCCTTTCACAGCAGGGTGACTCTGAGGCACAGAGGGTTGGCCTGCCCAAGGTCGCAGGACAAGCCAATTATAGGCTTGCTCCATGCCAGCTTCTAGCTGCAGGAGACCTTTCAGCCCAGTGGGATGGTCTTTCCCCATGGCCGGTATGCCTTGCTCAATTGGATCTGGGACCTCTAAGCTGAAACTGGACTCTGAGGAAAGCAGTGTTGGAGGAATTCCCCCATAGGGCAGTATGGCTCAACCAAAGTGCCTGGCCAGGCCACAGTCCTCGCGCTGGCTCATCCTAGCCTGCCTTCTGGTGGAGTGCTCCCTCCTTACAACCCCATATCGCTGCACCAGCACGGAGCCTTCTGAGACATGGCACCCTGTGTGTTTCTATGTGAATCAGAGACGGCCAGGGAGAGGTGGGGGCTCCCAACCCTTAGGGAACTGATGTCTAGCTCCGACTCCGGCAAAAGGGAGGTGCTGCCTTCAAAGGCCGGGAAAACAGCATCGCAGCTGAAATGTATTTTCTCATTTTCCCTTTGTGTTTGCAAACTAGAAAGTCAGATCCACTGGGTGGAGCAGAGCGGGCCTTGGAGGGACTTGAGACAGGGTCTGGGGCTGGGTTGGACCAGGACCAGCCTAGTTGTTGGCTTCAGACATGGAGGCCACATGGTTGAGGCCAGTGAGCCCAGGGAGGCTAGCCAGGCCGGCTGCCCAGGGGTCGGGTAGCGGGAAGTAGGGCCGCGTGGCGGCCACGTTCTCGGCCAGCGCTAGGGCCAGAAGGCCGCCAGCGTTCCTCTCGGCCTCGAGCTGCGCACGTCCGAACAGCTTCATCTGCGTCTCCTCGAACTGCCGCTCCAGCTCCTGCAGGCTTAGGGCACCCTTGGGTGCCGCTAGGAAGTGCTTGGCAGGGCTGGGGCCCGGGAGGCACACCCCTGCGCCGCCCAGGTGACCCCCAACGTCTCCCAGCGTGGGTGGCATCACGAAGGCCGTCTTGTCGGGTGTGGGGCCACTCGGCCCGAAGAGCAGGCTGGCAGCCCTCCAGGCGGCTGGCTTGCGGCCACGCCGGGGCCGTGCCATGCGACAACTCTGTCGCTTGATATGGCGGTGCAGGTGGTCGGAGCGCGTGAAGCTCTTGTAGCAGAACTCGCACTGGTAGGGCCGCACGCCTGTGTGGATGCGCATGTGGTTCTTGAGGTCGTAGTTGTGCACGAACTTGGCGTTGCAGTGAATGCACAGGTAGGGCCGCTCCCCTGTGTGCTTCCGCATGTGGATCTTCAGCTTGTCCTGCCTGCAATACAGAAGCCAGGATTTAGTGCCTGAGTGGGATGTAGGCACCCGCTCTTCACGTTGTTTCCTACTTCACAGCTGGTTTCCTGTATCCACGCTGCCAACCCGGGAGCCGGTTTTGTCCTAAGACCGACCTTCAACCTCTGGGTTAAAGCGGGATGGAGCAGTGTCCTAAAAGACATCACACCACTCCCTTTACACACAGGTTTTGAGTGAGTATCTCCCACTGATTATTAGAGGCCCGTCTCCCAACCTGGAAGACAGTCTTGCTGGAGAGATAGGTCAGCATCCTGGTCTCAGCCCCACAATGGTGAAGTCCCTTCTGAAAGAGGATGCTTTGTTCTCTGCCTCTAGGCTCATCCTAAACCTCCAATCCCACACAGCCCTTGTCCTCAGCATTAGACTTTTGAAGACTGTAGAAGTCTGGCATGCCTCGCGGAAAGCTCCTCGGTGTGGTGGCCTCTTACCTAAGCCCTGGGCTCTGCTCTTTGTAGACATTTCAGGGCGTATGAAAGAGCCAGGTGCAGTAAGAATGCAGCCTGATCTGGGGTAAGCTCTGGGGTTAGAAGCATTATTCAGAGGCAAGGCGTGGGATGGGGTGGGGCTCCAGCTGCAGGCACACCAACCACTTGCTGGGGGACCTTAGGCAAGGTAGGTACACTCTCTAGGCAAAGCCAAAGCTAGGGTCAGAGGTGAAGCCCATTTTCTTGGGTTGCTAGAGACTCCCGGGTATGCTTGAGGGGGTGGGAGTTCAAGACCCTCCTGGTGGTCCTGAAAGGAAAACAGATCTTCGAGTTTTATTGTCTAAGGATGGATCACACATAACACCAGTACAGGGAGTGTTTCAGCCTGGCTGAGGGGTGGGGGACAGTGGGTCATAGCATGTCCTCCCAGGACCACTCTACAGATCTCCCCAAGTGACTGGAGGCCAGGAGCGCTGTGTGCTGTCTCCACCACCTCTTGCAGGTGGGGCTTGGGAGGTGCCTCTGCTCTAATTCCAGGTTGGGCTTTGAGGTCAGAGCAGATGTGGAATCCAAAGAGTCTTCCCTAAAATGTCCAGATTCAAATCACCCTCGACATAACCCGGGACAGCAGAGTGTCTTCTGGCCACTAGAGGTCGCATGGGATCTCATTTAGAAAAGAGTTTTCCTGGGGGGTGCAGGAAGGAAAGCAGACGGTTGTTATGGGCACTGTCGGGTATGTGCACACCCTGTGTGCAGAGTCAGTCCTTTCTTCTGTGCTCCCTGGGGCTGGAAGCCTGGGAGGTGGGAAGCGGGACTAGCAGGGGAGGCAGAGGAGAAAGGGGTGTGGTGCCCTAAGTGTCTTCACACCAGACTTTCTGCCCTCTACAACCTCCAGTCACCCTGGCCTACACAGTTACCTTCTGTGACTTCCCAGCCACAGATAGTATATGCCCAGTGGCATCTGTTACCTAAGTGACTGAGCGTTTAGAATTAAGGGGACACAGGGAGCACCTGGCTAGTGGGTCTCCTCTGGGCAAGTCTGAGAGCCGTAATCAGAACCTGAGACGCTTGGGACCTGAACACTCCTTTTCAAGGCAGGTCACCTGAGGGACAAAGAGGAAGTGACAACAGAAGGCAAGGCCTAGTATGCTCAAGGTCCTGGGTTCAATTCTCAGCACTGGGGGAAAAAGAACAACTCTAAACCCAAGCCCTGAACCAGACAAGAGCCAGCTGCTCTTCTGGTTGGTGGGTCTCATACCTGTTTTCGTGTCTCCCATTGTGGAGGACCGAGACTCTCATCATCATGTCTGTGGCCCTGCTATTTGCTGGCAAGGGAGGGCACCTGTTTGGTGGTGGCATGGATGTGCTGTTTTCAGCCAAGGACCTCCCTCCATGTGTGCACAGGGAAATGTGTCCTATGCTAGGAGCCAGAGGACACAGGAGGCAGTAAACTCAAGAGGTAATAGCAGGGTGTGGGAAGTCCCTCCTCTTGGAGACCCATAGACTGAAGGCAGCGGATAGGATGGGGGTGACAGGGGTTTTGCTTGGAGAGCTCCACCTTGGGAAATGCCACAGGAGTAAAAGGAAATGATGCTCCCATGAAGTGTGAGCATTCTAGAAAGTGGCTTCTAGACAACAGAATCTATTATCATGGAGAAGGGCAGGCCTTGCTCACATCCATGGAAGGGCTGAGGTAAGCCAGAGGCCTAAGTTCTGTCCAGCACTGAGGAGAGAGTTGAGACCCTGTCGACTATGGAGTTTAGCTGTGGGAAGGAAGGACTGAGCCCATAGCCTCTCAGTGCCAAGTAGTGGCTTCAGCTTGCGAGGGACTCTGGGAATTCCAGATCTGGAGGCAGCCACCCTGCTGAAAAGCTTCCACGTGGGGTGGAGGGCAGGGCAATGAATGGTGGGGCCAGGGAGCTCAGTCCCAAAGCATATCCTCATGGAAAGGCCATAAGAAAAATCTCAACCTGGCAGGTTGAGGCTGGTGCTTTGGATGGATGGCTTTTGACTGGGTAGGAAAGGGTTCTTTCGGGGTAGCCCTGGGGGGGGCAATCAAGCAAGGGCCAGTGGCTCTGAAGAATGTGATGGGGAGAGATCAGTGTGACTGTCTCAGACTACGGTGAGAAAAAGTCCCCGAAGGGAGTCTGAATTCCAGCAACATCTCTGCAGTTCCTGCCCCTGACCTTGGAGAGCAGCCCCCGAAGTCTGTCTGATCTTGTGCAGAAGGGTCAGGGGAGTGGGAACCAGGAGAGGGAGGTGAGATGGGGGCTGGAATGTAGTTGCTACAGACAGGCCTAGGGCCCAGATGGCTGTCATCTGGCAAAGGAGGAGGAGTAACTCCGGGGAAAGCAGGGTTGAAGCCTGATAACCAAAAACTGTCTAGGACTGAGCTGACCTGGAGGGATGGGGACTGTACACACAGAGGCCACACAAAGTGGCCTTCAGGAATTCGTTGGGAGGGAACATTCTGGAATTTCATTCTTCTATATAAAACAGCATTGTTGCCTGAACCCAGGAATCTCCCCCTGGAGATTGCTGTAGCATCTGGAGGTCTAAAGGTCTGTTTTCAGGGACTGAACAAGTTTAAAATTTTGCCTAGGAAAGGCAGGGCCAGTGGACCCGCCTAGACCTGCACAGATCACTGAGAAGGCTGTCTTGTGAGAGATCAGAGGGAGGGTCAGGAAGGAATGAAGGAGGGAGGGAAGAAGGAAGGAAGGAAGGGAGGGAGGGAGGGAGGAAGGAAGGAAGGAAAGAAGGAAGGAAGGAGGAGACCCGGGCTCCTAGTAGCTCAATGTGGGTATCCTGAGTCCACTGAAGGGAGGGCTATTCTCATGGTCATTGCGCCCAGGGACAGGCACAGGAAGTTAGGGCAGAAGAACAAGGCTGGTCTGGAAGCCAGCAGTGGCACTCCCCATTTGGTCCATGCCTTTGACATCTTGCCCTGGGGGCTGCACTCTCAGGCAGGAGGGAAGACCCTGCTGAAGATGTGTAAATCACACTTGAGCTGAGCTTCATGTGGACTCTGGTGCTTCTGTCTGTTGCCACGCGTTAGCCAAGCTTCCCCCCAGGTGTTTCAGACCAGCTGGCTCTATGAAGCCGAATGAGTTCAGGAGAAGAGTGGAGTGGAGTGAAGGCCAGCATAACTCAACAGGACATCAGTGTGCTGGGACATTGCCAGGGACAGCCAGGGGAGCTGAATCTGGGAATTTAGATTCCAGCTGCCCTGTGAGATAACAGCAACACAGCGCCCTGATGTCAGCTTTTCGGGGCAGCTGTAGCCATCTGCCAAGAGGAAGCACACACAACCAGGGTGAGATTTTTCCCTCCAAGACCCTGGAAAAGTCCAGGGAAGATTCTGTTGGTGGTTTCCATCTCCGAAATAGCTTGGAAACCCTCAGTGTTGTCACCAGGTTGGGGACCGTGCCATTTCAGGAATGCCACAGTCACCGAAACACACTCTCAAGTCCTTCCCTAGCTACTTCAGAGTTTCCCGCTGCCCACAACAGCAACCCTTGACACTCTATAGGGTTCACCTTGTTTTCTCCTGGAAAAGGCACGGCCACTAGGTTGACATCGTGCATGGCTCAAAAATTCACTCCATCTATGAAGGTCCAAACTTCCTGCTTACTATGAAAACTCAAAGGAATAAAATTCCAAGAAACACTATTAGAACAATTTGACAACAGGCAAGTTCTTTGAAGTCCACAGCGACAGTGGGAAACGACCTAGATCTATAATCCATGGCTTAAAGACAGGTAGCAACAGGCTTTGTCCACATCAGACACACGGAAATAATGTGAAAGCCATTCATCAGAACTCTTCCACTGTGGAACCTAGCTGAGAAGATTTGCCTTACACCAGGGACACTGATGGTAGCAACAGGCTAGACTTAAAACAAACCAAAAAACAGCCTTTGAAAACTAGCAGCGGATAGCTATGGTCTCATATCCCCCACCTATTGGTTTTGACTACAAAAGTCATGGCGTAAACCAGTACATAGCACATATTAGCTGAATGGGGCAATGTTTCTGAAAGATGGCAGGCTTATGATGTGATGATTTCAGCAGATCTCAAGTTATCCTGTGGCAATGTGGAGAAACAAGGAGGAGAACGTGATAAGAGGTCCATCCTGTCAGGAGGACAGAAAGGGCCCACGGGGGTCTCTGCAGCCGCCTATTCACAGACTTTATTGTCGCAGAACCATCTCCGTGATTGTCCAGCTGCACGTAGGAGCAGCCAGCTAGCAACGGGCGGTGTCTGGGAAACACTGGCACCAAGCACACAGAAACTGCTTAACTGAGGTTTGCTGGTTCCCCAATGGAGCACAGAGCCTATCTTGGCTCCAAGGGACCTGCCTGGCTCCTCGGTTCTTCTCCCCAGCACCCAGCACAGCCCTGCTCTGACCTGTTTTCGTCTCGGGCTTCACCCTAGCACAATACTTGAGAAAACAGTTCCTCAAAGGGATTTGAAATCATTGCACTAGGCAATGCTTAGCATCGCGCCAAACCCAGTGTGCGCTCTCACTCCACCCCTGGCCCTCCATATTCCTCTCTCCTATCGCCCATGACCTCTGGCCCCGCCCCCCCTACTGCCATCTCTCTCCTGCGGCTGCGCACCTGGTGAAGCGGACCTCGCAGATGCTGCACATGTACGGCTTCTCCCCGGTGTGGGTCCTCATGTGCCGAGGCAGCTTCCCGGCCCCCATGATAACCTTGTGACAAATGGGGCACTGCTGAGAGGCCTTGGGCTTCAGCTTGCGCTCTTCCACCAGCGGCCAGGGCGGGAAGAGGCTCCCCAGGTGGGTGGCACTCAGGAAGTTGAGATAGGCACCATAGTCATTCTCTGCCTTGATGGGGCCCAGTGGTCCACTCGGCAGGTCAGGAAACATGTCCTTGAAGAAGTCGCTAGGGAAAGGAGGGGGGTGGGGGTGGGGCTAGTTCCTCCTTCTCCTCCTCCTTGATTTTGCGGTCCTTGATGACTAGATCCAGCGGCCCGCTGTCCATGGGCTGCTCAGGCAGCTGGGCAAAGGCACCAAAGTCCCCTGGCCAGAGGTGTGGAAAGAATTCTGGGGCGAATGGAGATAAGGAGGGTCTTCTGTCAGGGATGTTGGCTTTGGGGTACAAGTTCTCCCTCAGCAGAGATTCAATGGAGAAGTCCCGGATCACTCCCAGATGGCCAGGGCTGCCAGGCTGGAAGGAGTCGGGAAAGTCCCTGGGTGTGTCTGAATAGGCCTTCTCTGTGAGATGGTCCGTCTTGGAGGGGCTTTGGGGGCAGTTGATGTCCTGAGGGCCAGGCAAGTTTTCCTGGTCAGCAAAGTCCTCTGTGTCATCCTCCTCCTCCTCTTCCTCCTCTTCCTCGTCCTCTTCATCCTCCTCCTCATCGTCATCTTCGTCATCATCATCGTCCTCCTTGTCGTCCTCCTCACCTCCGTTGCCACCAGGCTCCATGATCTCCAGGCACACGTTCACAATGCACTGGATCTCCAGCATCCTGGCAGCGTTGAGGATGTGCTTGACGTTGGAGGCAGTGATGGTGAGTGTGGAGGTGTAGGCAAACTCCAGGATGGCAGCCAGAGCCTCGGGCTGGACAAAGTCAATCTCATAGACGTAGGGCTGGCTGGCCAGGCTACCGGCCGTGAAGAGCTTCTTGAAGTATTTGCTGCAGGCAGCCAACACCGAGCGGTGTGTTCGGTACTCCTGCTCCTGAACCACCAGCAGCACGTCACACAGCAGCCCTGCGTGCCGCTGCTCATTGAGGCTGCACAGCACCTCGCTGCTGTGGTTGGGGAAAGGGATGCCGATGAGCTCATCAATGTCATTGGCCATGATCTCAGCCAGAGCCCTGCAGGGACACACAGAAAGGCAGACCAGTTACAACGGGCACGGCAGCCTGAGGACTCATCTCCTGGATCAAGTCTTACCTGTAAGTCACAATCCAGCTCAGGCTGGGGTTTCTGCACCTTAAGACCCTTGGAGTTAGCATCTTACAGGCAGTGTGCATCAGCTGCTTTGGAAAAGTCACCGAAACCTCTGCGGTCTTGATTCACAGAATTCTGCCTTGTTAATATGGACACGGAGAATGCTGGGAAACACGGGTGAAGACCTCTGCAGGGTGGCATCCTGCTCTAACATGGGACCTGCTTGGTGCTTCGGCTGAGAGATGCTCACAAGTCCAAGTGATGGAGCATTCTCATAGTTTACGCAAGCCACCAGGAAGCCTCAACTCAACTTGGTGCCCCATTTTCAGTGAGTGAACAGGGTCATAGAGGCATAAGATCTGTCTCCTGGTCTTGCTTCACTGTGCCTGACAGCGTTTCTTTCATTAGCAGTTCAGCAATTCTTTCCCTAGCATCCTACGTATGTAATGTAAGCTGTTTCTCTTGTAAGCAGGTATTTAAAGTCGATGCAGATGCAGGCACTCTGTCGATTACTTTCTCGTGTCTGGCTGGCTAACCTCCCGGCATGTTAAAACCTGTAAGAGACAGTGGCCGAGGCTTCTTGACAGTATGGATGGTCCCTGACTTACGATGACCTGATACAGGACTTTTGACTTTATGGCAGTGTAAAGGGCACTCATCCAGCCATTCTGTTTATCCTCTTTTAGTATGGCAATTCAACGAGCTATGAGGTATTTGGTATTTTTATTATAAAGCTGGTTTGTGTTCAGTGATTTGGCTTAGCTGTAGGCTAATGTAGGTGCTCCAAGGCAGGCTTTGGCCGGAGGTCAAGCATGTTAAATACAACTTTAAATTAAAATTATGATGATGATGATAAAGATGATGATGATGATGTTTGTGTGCATAGTTGTGCATGCCATGGAGTTTATGTGGAGGTCAGAGGACAATTACGTTGTCTCTCTATTTTTATGTGGTTCCAGGGATCAAACTCAAGTCTCCAGGCAAAAATGAGAAATAGCCACAACTCCAAAAGCAGATAAGGCTGGGGAGAAAATGGATTACTTGCACATTGCCAGGGAAGGCAGAATGGTCCACCCTCTCTGCAAAGTACGGCAAGCCTTTTTAAAAGCTAGCTATCCAACGACCACCCGATCTGGTGTGGACGCTCACCCCAAAGAAGTGAAAACTGAGAGTGTCTGGTAGTCGACCTGAACTGGAGCTCACACGGACGCTCCTCATTAGGTGGGCGACTGAGCATACTGTAGCGCATCAGTTCTTCCGAGCCCCACTCAGCAATGACAAGGAGCGCTGATACCCTGATACACTCGGCAGCTTGTATTCGTCTCCAGGGAGTCGTAAAGAGTGAACAGAGCCAATCCCCAACACACGCTTCCTATACAGCACCCTTGAAACTGCCAGTTCACGGAAGCAGAGAGTGTGTGAGGGTTGCCAGTAGCAAGTATGGGCGTACTGGGGGGTGTGGCTATAAAGGAGCACTGGTGGGGGTGGACCTTGTGTGGGGAAGTGTTCTGTGTCTTGTCCATAGCAATGTTAGTATATTGGATGTAATACGATGCTGTGGTTTTGAGCGTGTACCATGAAGGGAAGCCATGTGAAGGGTACAGCGGATTCCTCTATATTATCTCTTACAAGCATGGGTGAAATGATCCCAAATGAGAAATTTAATTTAAAAAAGCAACCATTAGGTAACTACCTACGACAGTCTATGTGGCTGAACAGCAGGCCTGTCTTTCAAGGCCACCCTGCTACAGGAGGGTGGATTTGTGGGCAGTTTGAATGGAGCCTTCAGGGCAGGCCTCTGAGGCCTGGGTTAAAGCAGAGACCTTAAGACTGTGCTGTGTGTGATTTTCATCACGCGGAGGTGGGTTCAGTGTGATCTTCTGTGCGTGAGCAAGGGTAACTGAGAACACCCATCCCAGGAGATAGACAACTGATTGAGGACCATTGTTTGTTTTATAGATGTTATAAGTCTGGGGCTTTTATTCTGATGTTTTCTGGTAGATGACGATCGTATGTGTCAGTGTGGAGAAGTCCACACAAGAGTGAGTTTATTGAGGAACTGACATCTTGCTCTATTCCCACAAAGCCACCCTGGGCATAACTGGGTCCTGAGCCTCAGAAGGATGGACAACTTTTCCTCTAAGTGAAGGCCAAGGCTGATGGGATGGATGCTGGAGGATGAGCATGCATAGAGTCACAGTTTCCTAATCACTCAGGTCCTACACTATTAGACTTAGCAATGCTTGGGAATGCTTCTTGCGATTCTGGCCATTCCAGAGCACACTCAGTCATGCAAATATTTCGCAAATGTTTCATGTGTACTTGAAAATACTTATACTGTCTAGGTTTAGGCATTAATTATTGTTCAATTGTTCCCTTTTTTTGTTTTATTTTGTGTTTGTGTTAAGAGCTAAATCAGGACCTGGGACATGCTGGGCAAGTGCTCTACCACTGAGTAACATTTCTGGCTGTACAAAACATTCTGTATTCATATTAATATTATGTATAATAGGTAAATACGTGATAAAATACATAGGAATATCCCTCACAATATTTGGAGATTTATCACTTTCTCATACAGTGTTATTAAATTCTGCCTTATCTGTTTGAAGACTATTTTTGGTCATATAAATTCATCAGTTCTCCAGGAGAATTCCCTCCTCTGCATTCTTAGAGGAGACAGAGCTGCTATGTCTCACAGTGAGTAGGTCTATGCCCCCAGCTGGGACAGGAAGTGGTTCCCAGACCGCTGAGCTTTTTAGAGTGATGTCTCCTTTGGGATCTAAATCATGAAGATGAAACTATGGGTATGTGGCTGTAGGAGGCCTCTCTACTCCTCATTATGTCATTGGATGGCCATGAGAGATAAATAACAGACATGACCATGAAAAGCTTGGGGAGGGGTCAACAGGCTGGCGACCTTGACACGAAGGTTACTGTTCTACTCGCTACTTCTTGCTGTGTTTCGGCTCCTGATCTCTGTTTTATCCCTGGAGGAAGGGCTGCAGTCCTGGTAGCTCAGGGGTGTTTTTCTAGACAGAAGACTAACCTCAGGGTGAACACAGGGAGGACAGCATTGTGTTTAGGAAGCAGGCCCTCCTGTTACTTTTTCCCTGTCTCTTTGGGAAGAAGCATGTGTGTTTCCTGGGAACTTCACCTGGTGACCCTGAAGTTCCCAGGCCCGTGACAGCAGTGTTCCCGAGTGGATGCCACGCTCTCCCCACACTTTCCCACCTTAGCTTTGTGTCCCTTCCCTCCACTCCCCTCACCCAAGCCAGGGTGAAGACCAAAGCCGAGACTAACACACAGGGAGAGCAAGCACACATGCATGCAAACTCCCAGCAGCAAGCAGAGGCTTGAGAAGGGCTGTAAGCCTCTAGTGGGAAGGAAACAGCAAAGTAGCTTGGGAATAAAGGGCACAGGAGAGAGCGGGAGCAGGGGGGCCTCAGGTATGGAGGAAAGAGGTAATTAGGTCTGATCACCATTCTAGAGAGCACCAGGCCAAATTAGCAGGCCCTTGCTCTCCGCCACAATGGGAATTTCTAGGATTTAGGTGGGCCCAAGTAACAGGTATTCAACTGCCAAGTGAGTGTCTACTGTTTCAGAGAGACAACTGTGCTTCTTAGTGTCCCTCTTAAGAGGCCAAAGGCGTCCCTGGTAGTCAGCACTGACAGTCACACTCACCTCTGCTACCGTTTATCAAGTGTCTGTCATACCTGAGTCATCACACCTCTAATCCTTCCTCAACTGCATCATTCACAATGCATAGATAAAAAAGCAGCTATACAGAGGATGAGAGATGAGCCCAAGGCCACACAGGGGCAAGTGTCAGCATGATGTGAACCCAGTCACGTTGCAAGCACAAGCCTTTGTCCTTTGCCATGCTTCTGCTTGCCTTGCCTAGTTGGGAGACAGAGAGATCTGAACTCCTCTCTCTGAAGGGTGGCTGTCTCTTTCTCCATCAAGGTTTGAGCTGAGGCAGACCTGAGGGATGTGCATTAGATGGCTGAGACCCACGTGTGTAGGTAATTAACAGTGGGCATAGGAGGCTCCGAGTCCTGTGAAAATAAGAGGCGTGGACAGAAAGGCATGGGACCCTGTAGGTGCTTGATCAGAAATCTTTCCAGGAGTCAGGCCTTATCTAAGCACTGGGGAATAGAGGAGATTTTATTATGAGACTCCACAATAATCTATGTCCTTTGAATCTGGAATGTTTTGCATTTCTAGAATTCCTTCCAAAATGTGTTTAATCTCGATCCTGAGGGTCTCAGCCAGCTTGTGCTTAGGGGTGCACAATAGCAGGAGCTCACTCTACTCTTGGTTGGCCTGGTCTGACTTTTATCATGGCTCCATGGCAGACAGGCTCTGGGACTTCAGATCTCCCTCCTGGAGTGGTTTCCTCCTTCAACACAGGGGCTGTGTCTCGTTCAGCATGGCTGTGAGGATCCAGGGAGGCATACCTGCCTTCTGGAGCATTGCCAGTCTTCTGCCAGTGTGAGCAGAGTGGAATCCAGGAAGGACAAATGCCCCAAACAGGGATCTTGGCCAGATGGGACTGGACCAGGAGCCATCATGGTGCCATAGCTTTGTGGAGGCCTATGCCCTTAAGGCACCCCCTGACAAGCCCTTCTGAGAACAGCCTCTATGAGTGCCCACACCATCCCCAGCATGCACCAGGCCTCATAACCTATTTCTTGTCTCAGGACTCCTAATTCAACAAGGCAGGCAAGGTTTATGAAGAAAATGTCCATATTATAGATGATGAAAATAAGGCACACAGGGGAGCATAGGACCAGGAGCACATGGCAAATTTTAGCTTCTGAGAGAACCAGAAGTGGGGTGCTTTAATGCATAAGCTTGTATAGCCCCTGTCAGGCTGCCATAGCTAACAGAGGATCCTTGCTGGTGTTCCCAGAAAGGTGCA